CCTCTGTCAAGATCCGGCAATGTTGGACAATCTCCAATTAAGCTTCGACTAGGGTTTTCGATGGGTTTTTAAGACTAAAATGACTAGCTGGGGTTTGATACAAGCAGTTGATCCCTTCAACTAGAGTTCAATGCATATTCAACAACTCTATTCCACCTTTTACACCACCCAATCACCCTTTGGGTTGCAAAACTAAGTCGCTGACGATGCATCACCCTGGGTTGCACAAACAGCCTTCTCCAGTGCAACACCCCTTGGTTGTAACTTCTATATGATCAATTCAACCTCGACATTGTGTCGTGAATGAAAAATTTAGGCTAAAAGATAGAGGAAGAAGAGGAGAAGATGATGATGATGAGAGATTCTCGTGGTTGTGACCACTACCAGAGGATTAGATTGGCTTTACCTTGCAATCAAGCTACAGGAAGAAGAGGAGAGAAGGAGACGGAGATTCCGAAGCTGTTCTTCGATTAGACTGGCAAATAAATATATGTATCAGTAGAAAGTAAAATACCAAAAATACCCCCAGGTCATAGCATTCTTTAAATTTAGATGCCTTAGAAAAATTTGGCGCAAGTTCATGCAGATGATATTGAGGGTGAAGTTTATTTCCAAACTTTGTTCTAATTAAATTATTGTTGTTATTATCATTTTAACTTTTCTAAGTGGGTCTTCTTGATTGTTGGGGATGAAGCCATAATAGTTGGGGTGGGGATGCAAAATGGTGCCCATGTAGTTGGAGGTGGATTCTACAGATTTCAAAGTAATAGTCTAACCTTTTCTCATTAGAGTTATTGCAATGATCTATCAACAGATGCGCTAATTTTTGAAATCTAACTATTTTGATTTCTTTCTTCTTTTTATTGGTTGATATTCAGGGCCTCATCGAGCATGAGGAGAAAGGTATGCAGAGAATTAAGAGTAATGCAAGGTGCTCTGAAGCAAATCCATCTCAGTAGCTCAAGAGTTGGAAAAGCTTGGTGCTTGCAATTTTTCATTTGTAAAAGGTATTTAGGGGTCTGTTGCGGTATACAATATCTTTTTGTAGTCATGTCATGGCTTCTCTTTTGTTGTTTGATGTAGTTGCATGAAGTTCAATAATAATTGAATTTTATTTACTCTGTTACGATCCTGTAAATAAGAAGATCATAGTCTGGGGTGAAAAGCAGAAGAGCCTGTTTTCAGGAAGTGAGTCAATTTGTTGCGGTGGTTAATCAGTCCTTGTTGAACCATTGGAGGTACTGGATCCAGATCACGGAGTTCTCAATAACTTTCTTCTCTTGTAAATGGAGGTTAAATTTTTTGGAAATTTCAACCCTGGACATAGACTGGAGATTCGAGTCCATGAACTGGGCCATGGACTTGCCAGTTTTGTACAATAAAATAGTTTTTATGTCAAAATTGCCAAGCAGTAGCAGCAGCACAAGATGGGAACACGTTGAAATGCAGGGAATCAATCTGGATACTTGGTTGTCCTGCATTCCATCTTTCTGTGTTTGGCACGAGGATTTGTCAATTGAAGGAGGAGAAAGAGAAAATGAAACAAAAATTTTATTCTTGTATTTGGAATGAGGATTCATCAGTAAAAAGAACAAATAGTTTTGGTTGGGTGTGGTTCGTTTTTGTTTTACAATAAAATATTAACATATAATATCGCAAACACCTTAACAAATTTTAAAATTCACAAGAATATAGTGAGCACTAACCAAATTCATACTTTTAGTTGGATGGATACCACTTCATTGAAAGGATAGATTGAATGAAGACCTAAAAACTACACAGTGAGCACTAACCAAAGGCCCGAAATAGAAAGTTTACCTGCTGGTACTTGGAACACTAGATCGATCCCATTCCAAGTGCAGTACAAAAAATAACCACTCAATCGAGGCATAGAGAAGGTACCACAATGATTGGCTGTTCATCATCTTGTTCATTACATAATCCAAGGTGTCCCAAAACAAACCAAAAGATGTTAAAAACAATTTAAATATTTAATTCGTAACAAAATACTGTCAAAATTTTTATAAAGCAATAAATTTTATAAAACTCTATTTTTGTTAATTATAAATGATAATTTGAAATCAAATCAAACTATAAATTATAATTTGATTTAATTTTTAAAAATTACAAATCGTAAAATATAGTTTAATTTGAATTCAAATACCAAACTCATTTAAATCGGAACATGAATACCTTGAATAAAACATAAATTAATTTGGCGTTACTTTTCATTTCTAGTTGTTAAAATGTCCTTATTCAGCAACTATTTAATTATTTAGTGCTTTTTTTACCAAATAAATATAATGGAAGAAAAATAAACAATTGACTAATTAAAGACATTTCTGAAAAATTCTTGATTATAAGCCAAGCATCCCCAAAAAACAGCTGAGAGAAAATATATGCGTTCTTAAAATCTATTGATGTTTGAACTTTATATTCTATATTTTAGTTTAAAATTTAAAATTTATATTTTAGTTAAAAATTATACTTATATTTTATAATTTAATACAAAAAATTGTATTTTATTTAAAAATTATAATAATGTGATTTTATTATAAAAATTTAAAATTTAAAATTTAAAAGAAGTAAGGGCCAACCATCCCGTTCCAAGTGCAGTACTAAATGTAACCACTCAATCGAGGCATAGAGAAGGTACCACAATGATTGGCTGTCCATCATCTCATTCATTACATAATCCAAGGTGTCCCAAAACAAACCAAAGATCGAACAATTTGATATCTCACTAATCCCCTTAAATTTTAAATGAAATTATTTTGTATAAAATCCACAAAAGCAAATACAGTTGCACATAAATGTGACAGAATTTCAAATTTTACCCTTCGCTTGAAAAAAATTAGATACCTTTGGATTTAAAAAGTTTGGCAAAAAGACGTTGCCTACTGCATTGAGGGAACAGTAGTTTCCCTAGTTAGAAGTGCCATTATAATTGCATCAGCCATTCCATCAGCAAATGGTAAGAAATGGCCAGCACCCGGAACTTCATAATAGTGAATCCATGGAAGCTGTTGAGCAATGTAATTCTGAAGTGATACGGGCACAAGGAGGTCTTCATTTCATTGCCATAATTGGATAGATCCTACACTGTTTGGAAATGGGTTCTCCAGATCCACCGGATCAAAATCCCAAGTTCCAAACCCAACCATCAGGTCACGGTGGAGGGATTCAAATTCTCCTTGCTGTGTTACCTCCATCTGAGATCCAAAGAAAGATGACATACAGATGGAAACATGTGGTTATATGCACTAGTCATTCAAAATTATTGAAACATGACAAACTGAATTGGCATTTATCTACACGGTGGAAATGTTTTGGAAATACAACTTTGAGCAGATAAGGCATAATCACATTCACACTGCTACTACGTCTAGGAGTTTTACTTCATTCAATTATAAAAATCAGCAGCTCATAGAACAAAATTTGAAGTAGAGTATATGCAAACAAGATACCATGCAGAAGCAAATGCTAAATAACGAAACAAAAACTAGCACAAAGAGTATTGAAATACTTATTTTTCTTTTCCAATAAATGGTTCAAATCATTTTACCAATATGAGTGTTTTAACCCAAAAGAAACAAATTTTGAAACCATCCCAGTATTAACATAGTGGTAGAAAGAGTACCATGCTGCATCTGAACTTCAAACGATTTGTTTTAACCATGTTATGAGTCCCACGTTACTGGTTCAGGGAGAATCAAAATCAATGTACCAATGAATCATGAAATGCTAGGGTTCTTGCATATAATTTATTAATTTATTCAAAAGTAATTGCGAGGTAACTCCTAAGTCAACAACTCCCTCAGCCAAACACTTAGTAGTTGTGGAACTGTAACTAATCATCTACCATGAGATTATCTCTCAAATGTATCTCCTCTGCTCTGTGGATGGGCAATCTATATCAATCTATTATTTTTGTTTTTGGGAGCTAGGTTTTTGGAACACGGGCACTGCTCTATATGTTAGACATCTGCATAATCTAAAGATTTAATGAGAGATTTGACTCATTAGAACCAAGAAAATTTTGACACGCTTTCAAATTTGCCTTATTCTTTTGATAGTGTTAAAATTTGCATTCTGATAGTCCAGAAGTCCTGCCTTGTTTTTTTCAGCTTCAATTCAGTAGTCTATAATGCAATGTGAAACAAAAAAGAAAAAAAGAACCTAGTGAGCACCATGAACTTATTGGTAAGCACTTTCATTAAGATATTCTATATGAAGTGGTACCAAGCCAAAAGGCACATCGACAAACTGACAAAGGAAATGCATATTGTGTTGGATATGATATGAACAAAATAGCAGAAATTTTAAGGAATTATAAGAGAAAAATGGTTGTGATACGGAAAAAAATGTAGCATTATATATTTTTATTAGTTATATATTACATGAATGTTAAAATCTAAAAGACTAAACACACAAAAAGTTCATGAATAGCAACCAATTTACAAAAAGCACAAAACCTAATAACCTACCCTCTCTCAACTTGATTTTAGAAATGAGGGCAAATTATGCCTTGTAAGCATATAAGAAAAATGATAATTTGCTACACTTACACATAGCAGACATATCTACCAAAATATGTTACTATCCAGGCATGTTGAACATAGATACTTGAGTCTTGTAGAACACAAAGTTTGGTTTTCATTTGCACGTGTCCACATGTGTTCTCCATAAAGCCCATCTAAATTTTTGAAGAACAACAATTCCTTTAGTCCTATCCTAATTATCGGCAATCTATTAGTATAATACAACTTTTTATGACCACAGATCCAGCACCGTGGAACAGAATTGAGCATGATCATAAAGAAGTGGATAAATTACATGTAGACCACCATAAGTATATGATAGTGTTGACTAATCTTTCGAGATTTAGCAGATTTTAGATCCTAATTTATAGGTAGATTCTTTGTAATGATTTTATTCTACTGCCTTTTTTGTATATTTCCTAATTAGGTTTCAACTCTTTATATAAATACCTTTGTAAATTACATATTTTGTAAGAAGTGAGAAAATCAATAGAATTTGTTTCTCAAATTCTTCATGGTATCAGAGCCTGTGCCTTTTTGGAGATCAAGTTTTTTTCTCTCTCCTAGCACTATCGGGTCAATCTTATTTTCATTGAAACTCATGTAACTTTCATATCAGAGATACCTCTCTGAGTTGTCCTTCTTCATCACGAACCTTACAATAGTGCTTGTCGGCCGCTAATCTACCCGCCGTCGGAATCGCGCCAACATCGAAGCTTGCATGCCCCACCATGAGCCGCCATTGTAAGCTATTTTTCAGCGTGCGTGACTACACGCGCCGCCCCATTTTAGTCATCACCTCCCTCACCGGCGTCGCCCCTTCATTCTGACTGCACTCAAAGCATCTCCGAGTAGATCTAAGCCGCCTCTGAGCAGATTCACGCGAATCTGAGCCTGATACGAGCACGCACCGTCCTGTTCCAGAGTTGCCTCTTGCTCGCCATCCTGTTTCGGCGTCACCAAAGTCGCTAAAGTTAGTTCTATTGTGATCCGAGCCAGATCTGTCGTGAACTACCCAGTGCCTTACGAGTGTTGTTTCCCTTTTCCTGGCAACACTAGTGACACTAGTGGTCCATCTAATTCCGATCTGCCTAATCCAAGCTCGATCTGAGTAGATCCGCACTAGATTTGAGTCAAATCCGGTTTTTCTAGATTATTATTAGAATAAAGGCGGATGATAAGAGGTTTGTAGCCACTAATTCTGATAACCCTTCATTGCAAATTAATCCCGTAAAGCTTGATGGCAGCAACTACCTCGCATGGTCACAGTCGTGCTCGTTGTTCATCAAAGCCAGAGGATTGTAGGGCTATATTACGGGTGATAAAAAGAAACCTAAAGCAATTGACACCACTTATAATTAGTGGGATTCCGAAAATTCTCTTGTTATGGCGTGGCTCATCAACTCTATGCAGCCTCAAATTTCTAGAACTTATTCGTTGCTTGACACTGCAGCGAAAATATGGAATGCAGCTACTTTCACCTACTCACGAGTTGGGAATGATGCTCAGATTTTTTAGATTCGAAATAAAGTCCATAGCACAATTTCTCAGTATTTTTCTAAACTAAGTGGCTTATGGCAGGAGCTCGATTATTATCAAGGCTTTCAAGCAGACTGTACTAAAGATGCAGTCAAATTTCAGAAATTGATTGAGAATGAGCGGGTCTATGATTTTCTGGCAGGACTAAACAATGAACATGATCAGATCAGGATTCATGTTCTTGGTAAAACTCCTTTTCTTTCTCTTGAGGAAGCATATTTCTATGTTCAACAGGAAGAAAGCAGAAGAAGTGCTATGCTCTACACAGCACCAGTTGAAAATGTTGGATTGACTGCGAGTGGTTCTTATGAGAAACCAATGACAAATAATTCTGATAAAGATAACTTGCGTTGTGACTATTGTGGAAAGCCGCAGCATACTAAGGAGACTTTTTGGAAGTTACATGGTTGACCTAATAGAGGTCGTGGAGGAAAAAGAGTCAATTCAACAAGGGCTCAAGCAAATTTGTCAGAAACCATAGAGTCATCTGCTGAGACAATCTCTACTGAGACTTTTTTTTTAATGAAATTCAATATCTCAAGCGTCTTCTATCACACATGGACTCTTTTTTTGGTGCAAAATCCAACTTTATGAAGTCAGGTAATGCTTTCACTGCACAACTTGACACTGATTCTTGGATTATTGATTCTGGTGCGAATGGACACATGACAAGCTCCTCTAAAAATCTCCTTAACTATTCTCCTTGTCTAGAAAAGGACAGTGTTCGAATAGCCGATGGCTCTTTTACCCCTATATCTGGAACAAGTTCTATTTTCTTTGCTCCCAATATCAGACTATCTTCTGTGCTTCATGTCCCTCGATTCCCTGTTAATCTTTTATCTGTTAGTACCATTACCAAAGCTCTAAATTGTAAAGTCGAGTTTCCCTAATCATTGTATCTTTCAGGATCTTCAAACTGAGAAAAGGATTGGCAGTGGTAGATTACATGATGGCTTATATATGCTGGAAATGAGTAAAGGTTCTGTTCCGAATCAGGCTTTTCTTGGAGGAAATAAGGATGTCAACCAGGAAATAATACAATGGCATAACCGGTTGGGGCATCCCCTTTTTTTTTGTTTTAGCCAAACTATATCCTAGTTTGTTTTCAAGGACTTAATTTGATTCTCTGTTTTGTGATGCTTGTGAATATGCTAAGTATACTAGAAACTCTTATCCTTTGAGTAATAATAAAAGTACCATTTCTTTTATGACTATTTATTCTGATGTTTGGGGACCTACTCAGACTGTATCATTATCTGGCAATCGATGGTTTGTCACATTTATTGATTGTTGCACAAGAATGACTTGGGTATATTTGATGAAAGCAAAGAGTGATATTTTTTCATGCTTCTAATCTTTGCATGGTGTGTACCCAATTTGATGCAAAGATTAAGATTCTGAGAACTGATAATGGCATAGAATACATAGATGGTAGATTTGGTACTTATTTGGAATCCAATTGGATAATCCATCAAACTAGCTGCCCTTATACTAGTGTGCAGAATGAGGTGGCTGATAAGAAAAACAAGCATCTGTTAGAAGTTGCTAGATCACTTATGTTCACCATGAATCTTCCAAAATCTTATGGGAGGGGGGGGGGATGCCATTCTGGGAGCTTCTTATCTTATCAACAGAATGCCCCTCAAAACTCTTAACTTTAAGAGTTCTTTAGAGATCCTACAAAGAAAAAATGAGTATACTATTCCTTCAAAGGTGTTTGGGTGTATTTGCTTTGTCCATACTAAGAATGTTGAGAAACTCAAACCAAGGGCCCTAAGATATGTATTTATTGGGTATTCTCCAACACAAAAGGGTTACAAGTGTTACCATCCTCCTTCTAGGAAATATTTTGTCAATATGAATGTTACTTTCAAAGAGACTGAACTTTACTTTAGTACAATCCAATCACCTTTTCAGGGGGAGAAGAATGAGAAAGAAGAGGTTATACCTAATTTTGTAACTCTGAAGGATCTTACTCTAAGGGAGAATTTGAGTTTTGTTGAAGATAGAGTTCAAAAAGAGACAACTGATGTTCAGGGGGAGAATGCTGAACGATTGGATAGACCTGATTTGAGAAAATACTCCAGGAAAGACAACACTAAAGAAGCCATCATGCAGCCTACTTTGTGTCAAGAATCATCCTCTCCTGGTAAGTTACTTTTTGATGATTTAGATAAACCTATTTCTCAAAGAAAAGGTGTCAGGACCTGTACCAAACATTCTATATCTAACTTTGTTTCCTATGATTCCTTGTCCCCTACCTATAGAGCCTTTGCCTTGTCCATTTCTTCCGTGTCTATTCCACAGGATTGGAGGAAATCTTTCAAACATCCCAAATGGAAAGAAGCAATGGTTGAAGAAATAAAAGCTTTGGCTAAGAATGGAACTTGGGAGCTTGTGACTCTTCCATCTGGAAAGAAATTGGTTGGCTACAAATGGGTGTTCACTGTGAAACACAAAGCTGATGGTTCAATTGAAAGATTCAAAGCCAGATTGGTCGCTAAGGGATTCACTCAAACTTATGGAGTGGATTATTAGGAGACATTTGCCACTGTAGCAAAGATGAACACAATTAGAATCTTGCTATCTTGTACAGCTAGCCTTGATTGGGATTTACAGCAATTTGATGTGAAAAATGCATTTTTCCATGGAGACTTAAAGGAAGAAGTGTATATGGAGATTCTTCCTGGATTTGATGATGAAAGAACACAAGGAAAGGTCTGTAGATTAAAAAAGGCCATGTATGAGCTAAAGTAGTCTCTCAGAGCATGGTTTGACAGATTCAGCAAAGCCATGATCTCTTTTGGCTATCAACAGAGCAATGCTAATCATACTCTATTTATCAAGCATAACAAGGTTAAAATCACAATTCTCATAGTCTATGTTAATGATATGGTAATGGCAAGAGATGACAAAGAAGAGATGGCTCGATTAAAGAAGCTTCTAGCTCAGGAATTTGAGATAAAGAATCTAGGAAAACTGCAATATTTCTTGGGAATTGAAGTTGCCAGATCAGAAAAAGGAATCTTAATATCTCAGAGGAAACATATCCTTGATCTCTTGGAAAAAACTGGTATGTTGGGTTGTAAACTAGCAGAATCTCCTATTGAGAGCAATCATAAGTTGCAAGCAGGGACTAGTGAATCATTTGATATAGGGAGATATCAGAAATTGGTGGGGAGACTAATTTATCTCTCACACACTAGACCAGACATAGCATATACAATCAGCTTGGTGAGTCAGTTTATGCATGATCTACACGAGCCTCACATGCAGGCAGTCTTTCGCATTTTGCGATATCTAAAGTCTTCTCTAGGAAAATGTTTACTTTTCTCCAAACATGGTCACCTCCCAATAGAAGCCTTTACAGATGCAAATTGGGTTGGATCTTTAGATGATAGGAGGTCTACTTCTGGTCATTGCACATTTTTAAGAGGTAACCTAGTCAGTCGGAGGAGCAAAAAGTAGAGTGTAGTTGCTCGATCAAGTGCTGAATCAAAATACAGAGCAATGGCTCGGGTGTTTGTGAGCTTTTGTGGTTGCAGAAAGTATTGGAGGAATTGAATTTGTCAAGAGAAGACTAATTATTCCTGTACTGTGACAACAAAGCTGCCATCAGTATAGCCCAGAATCCAATACAACATGATCAAACAAAGCAATAGAGATTGATCGGCACTTCATTAAAGAAAAGTTAATTAATGGTGCCTTGAGCTTAATTCACGTACCGTCTGACAAACAATTAGCTGATGTGTTCACAAAAGGGCTCAACAATAAGACCTATCATACTTTAGTCTACAAGTTGGGCATGTGTGATATTTATGCATCAACCTTGAGGGGGAGTGTTGACTAATCTTTGGAGATTTAGCAGATTTTAGGTCCTAATTTATAGGCAGATTCTTTGTAATAATTTTATTCTACTGCCTTTTTTGTATATTTCCTAATTAGGTTTCAACTTTGTATATAAATACCTTTGCAAATTACATATTTTGTAAGAAGTAAGAAAATCAATAGAATTTGTTTCTCAAATTCTTCAGATAGCATAGCCCATGCCTCTGGCACACATGAGTAATCAGCTCTCTTAAAGGAGAAAAAAATTATGAACACCTAAAAGCATCATTCTAATCCAAATAGAACTTCCATCTATTCTTGGATACTAAAGATAAATCCTGGAAAGTAAAATATGATTAATATAATCCTAGGATAATTATCTAAATTGAATAAATCCCAGAATAAACAAAAGACACGGATAAATAAAACTGCAAAACAATAAAGTAGTCGAACTCTTAATGCATTCTTCATCACTTCAACCACTTGAATTGTAAAATACATCATTAAATCCATGAACTACTTGAAACTTGAAAGCATATGCAGGGTTAGTGGAAAGAACTAACTTTCATATTTAACCTTAATGAATAGGGAGTTCACTGGGTGTGAGTAACACTTGTTGACAGTTCAAGGGTACAAGTTAAACTCACTGATATTTCAAGAGGTGTATTTGTAATTAATTTTATATGTTTTGACAGCAAATATCTTGCTCCATCTATTTTTAACAAATCTGTCAGCACCTGATATTAGGGTGATAAATGTTAAAGTTCATGAGTCTAAGTGATACTGGTCAATAGTTCAGGCAATGTACATGTAATTTACCCCATATATATATATATATATATATCAGAGAGGCAAGCTGAAGCATCTTTATAGATAATGCTCCAGTGAATACAGGCCATGGCCCATGTCACTCTTCACTAACTTTTGGTGCTACAACTATAGTGGGTTCATCGAAGTAGCTTGTCAGAATTTTCAATGAAACAGCCATTCAACAGAATTTTGAATGTCAATCCCCTTTGAAAGGTGCGCAGAGACAGATTTTCATAATAAATACCTCATGTTCCCTACTGCTAGGAAGCCTTGCCATGATTTCCAAGTCTTTCTGAGTAAAAACTGCAGGGTTTTTAGCTACGACACTAGAAGAAGGAAACAATTTTTGAGTGTTCCATCAGTACGTAAGCCATGGAATGTAGTGAGAAATACGATATGCCCATTGGTCCTGTGGGAGCTGCTTGTCAAAGGCTTCTTTAGATAAATTCCTAGGTAGATTGGGCCACCAAAAGTTGATGGCTGGAGCAATAAGCGATGCACCAGCAAGCCTGTTATTTAATGTATTCCAATCAAGAAAGATAAATCAAAAAAATAAAGAACTAAGACACCATAGACAACAACATTATTTTTTTTATTTGTGTAATCTTTTGTTGGTTTGGCCAACAACAAGAGTTAAAAAAAATGTGCCATTTCTGAGCAATCTCCCTCTTCTGTCTAAAATTTACAGAATAGATAGTAAACATGACTTGGAAATAAAGAAAAAGTGCAATGTTAATTCTGTTTTCAAACAAACAATCTCAAAAACTTTACCACATACATATCTTGGTAGGAACTGGGTTCTCTCCATTTCAAAAAATCCTCCATTTCTTCATTTCAGTCAATTTAGACCATCAATCTTATCATGAATGGCCTACATCTTTAAACTGTCAAATTAAATTTTAAATTTGAACTCTTCTGGAGATCTTTGCCATCCAGATAACTGAGACAATCCAAATTGGCACCAATAGGTTTTAGATGGTCACTTTCTAAATCCTCTTGGCCGTTACATACCTGTGAGGAATGTACTTGAGGCACCTCCAAATTGCTTGTCCACCCATGGAAAAACCAATGACATAGAATTTGGATCCTAGTCCCAACTGATCAGCAAGCTCCTCTATATCTAAAGCCGAACTCTTTAGAGTTTGTTTTGGATTAGGATCACTGTCTCCATAACCAGGCCTGTCAAATGAAACAATGTAGACCCCTATACCTTCCATAACATCCTGTGAAAAACCAAACATGAGTCCAAGTAATGCAGGCACGTACATGAAGTAAAAGAACCAGAAATAACCAAAGCAAAGGAAACAAAATCTTCAATTTGCATTTGTATTCTTTTTTCTGGTCTCAGAGTTTTGTCTTTTTGAATTTTTGAAAACCAGAAAAAGGTTGAAACTCTGTTACTTTCATATCCTTCGATTCAGAAGCAAGACTAATTTTGGAGAATTCTGAAAGAAACTTCTGCTGTTTCCTAAAAATGGGCCTGTTTTATGCAAATTCTGCAGAAAAAAAGGTTTGCAAAAACAACCTGCCAAATGGGCATTTTGTTTCCAAAAAATGGTAAACTATTTTCAGAAACAGATCCGAAGAGGCCTGATTAAACATGAGTAATGGAGATACTTTTGTGGCAAGCACAGCTTCATGTCTGCTGGAGCCTGTGCCATGGACATAAACTATTTTATACTTTGCCTCATCTTTTGGGACACCATGCTCGTTGTAGGCCAAGTGCCTTCCATTACTAAGTCTTATTCTAGGTGCTGTAACAGGGAGACAACCTGACGAGCCACACATCCTGGGAGGTGGTGGCTGAATTGCCCGATAAGCCCATGCTAGAATTCCCATAAATGAAACCATTAATAGTTTCTTAAACATCCCTGAAGAATCAAAGTTTTGATTAAAATCAGTGGAAATTTGCAGGGATAAAATTCCATTGTAAATCTGAAAACCATAACTACCAGCTATCAATTACAGAGATGTCATGCATCAATTACATAAAACCATTTCAAATACAGGATAATATATTTACCACATCCACAATTACAATTTTACTTAAAATGTCACGAGATGACACGGCAATTCAAGGGCTCACCATGATTTTATATATCAAATAAATGAATCAAAGGGCTTAAATTTGGAAATTATGGGAGTATTAAGATTGTTATTAAGAAGAAAAAAACTACCCCTTTTAGTGTATTGACTAAACAATGTATTCAATTCCAGAGTTCAAGTAAATTCCAAAATCAAAAGTTGACCCTGTTTAAACTGCAGAAACCAATGAGCTTATTGATCATCCGTTAAGAAATTGTAAACCAGCAGACAGCCAACAGAAAATATAGTGTTCACCCAAAAGAGACGTAGAATTCAGCATTAGGATCCTACAGGCTACAAGAAACAACTGAGAAAATCTGCTTTTATATAAACTGAAAACTTCTACATTTACATCCGCCAACTACCAGATCCTTGAAACTCCTCTATTCTAAATGCAAATCTAACGTCACATCAAAATGGTAGTATATTGTATCAGACCTAACACATTCACCACTTCTATACAAGATCGATAGCATCATTCACTAACTATTGCAATTATACATAAATTTATAGTTGATCAAATCAAATGGTGTTCGGAAATGGGAAAGGCCTAACCCGAAGGGAGTTGAAAGGCAGTATTCTGCTTTGACTTTCTCGTATGAGCCCTGGCCGATGCGGCTGATACCTTCCTGCCAATGCCTTCCGCCATTTTTCTTCAACGCCCGCCAAGTTTCGGAAGTTGCCCAACTACACAGGAAGCAAAACTCGAAAACTCCAAAAATGGAGAAAAAAAAAAGTGAAAGAGATGATTGAGAGAGAAAGGGGGGGAGGGAGAGAGAGAGGAAGGCGGGTACCAGCTAGGATGAATGCAGTCAAGACCGGACAAAAATCAGATTGAATATGGCCGTCCGATTTCGCTGATGACCGTTATGGGCTCCAGTTTTCACCGTCCGATTTCCCCCCCGGGGGGGGGGGGGGGGAGGTGGTTATCGGCCATAAGATCAACTGTTTTTAGTACAAACGTGTTTAATATTTTTTCCTACGCTGTCCGTTCTTTCCCCTTCTGCTTCACAATACGAAACATGACCAAACATATCCTAAATTATTGTTCTTGGAATTTACAGTTGTACTTGAATCTGATCCTGACACCATCAATTTTTAAATTTGTTAACTTATGTCAGGTAAAATACGTATTAAAAAATAACAACAGTTTTGTTCTAGAAAGAGAAAGAAGTGAGAGGAAAAGTTAATGGGGGAGAATGGTGCACATGGCTTGCGAAGATCACATGGACAAATGATGACTTTGCTGTGGACATGATTAAATAATACTCCAAAAGATATAAAAACTAACTAATGGGCATCTTGCATATCATATATAGATGAGCTCTTAAAAATAAAGCAATATAAAAGATTCAAGTTGAGCTCTTAATCTACCCAAAAATTGCTCTGTTATTACACTTTCGTGTTGGATTGATTCACTTCTACTCCAACAACCGATTCTTTTATAGGCGTAATTCATCTTTCATATACAAACAAATTAGCCTACACATAAAATGCATTCAAACGTTTTTTATATCACCAATTCCGAGTATACATATCTGTGAAAAAACACTAGCACCAATAAAAGCCAGCAGTCACTAACTTATAGCTTAATGTCACACGAGCCAAAGGGGAAAACGCCAGCACATGACGCGAAAACACCATCAACCCGATGCTAATGTCTAGCTTAAAATCAGACTTAAGGGATCCATGGAAGGGTAGCCCAAAAACTTTCCTTTAACTGGCTCCGCAAAAACAACCCCTGATGGCGGCGGCAAAGCCTCACAAGTCCTGGATTTGGACACCATGGGGACCGCGCCGGAGATGTCAGATATGGGCAACAAGCAGTTGGCCAGAAGAGCATGATTGGTTGCAGTGGAATTGCTGTCCCAGTAATGAGGTGGGGATAAGTTGTTCACCACCTCTAGGTCTATCTCAAAAAGATCTTCTTCTTGTTCTTCTACTTCTTCCTTTTCTTCTTTCTCCATGTGAACCAGCTCTTTCCTGACTTGTGAAAAGTCTCCGAGAGATGAAGCCATTAGTGATTTACTTCTGGCTCTGGGTATGTACTACCTTAAATTTCTGTTCTGCGAATAGAATGTACTTATATGGGTTTGTGTTATGCGTTGGGGCTCGCAAGGGAAGGTGGTACGTTGAGCGCTCTTCAACGAATTTACAACTATCACATAAGAATTATTTGTTACTTATTTATTGACCCTTAGGTCGCACGGGAACTGGGTAGTTGTTAGATTTCAAAGTAGTTTGTCTTATTGTACCTCCCAGCCACTGAAAGGAAAAGATGTCTCACAAGTGGAGCGCTCTTCAACAAATCTGCAACTATCTCATAGGAATTATTTATTATTTATTTACTGTCTCTTCTATTAAATAAAAGTTGGGACGTTGGTGTGTTTCAAAGTAGTTTCTCTCGTTGCGGCTCCCCGATATCATATCTCACGTATTGCTGACATAACTACATGCTATATTGGAAGTTACATTTACTGCTCTACGCGGCTTCAAAACTCTTTGCTGAGACAAGTTAATTTGGTTTCCAATTTCCTTTTTACTAAATTTATTTTCAAGAAATTTAAGGGCATGCTTGGCTTGTGAAAATGTTTTTTATTTTTATTTTTTAAAAATGATTTTTAATTTTAGATTTTTACTTTTTAGAAAATATGTTTGGTTTGATTTATTATTTCTTATTTTTAGAAAATAAAAATAATAAAAATATGTTTAGCTTATCTATTTTTATTAAATTGAAAATAATAATTCGATTGAATAAATTTAGAATTTTAGGGTTTTGACAAGAATTTAGATGAAGAAATAAAAAAAAAATAATTGAGGTTAAATTAATGTTTTAATAACTTAGGGACTAGATTAAATAATGAAAAAGGACCTAAGGACCAAATTGAAACAATACAGAAAATTCCTTATTTTTGCTAGGAACCCCAGCCCGGCAAACACAAATGGCATCAGGTGAGGGGCAAGGGCGAGGTGTCGGAAGACAGGCAAGGACATTGGGCAAGGGCTAGGAGTGGGGCAACGGCAAACAAGGTGAAAGCCCTTTCAATCGATAAGGGTTCTTACGAGTAGATCAAGGGGCTCTTCGACTTCTCTATATAGCTCAAAAAAGGAAACAAGGGGGTTCTTCAACCTCTCTATGGAACAAGGGGGTTCTTGAAACCCAGTGCAATCAACTGCCAATGTGAAGTTCATAATCTTTGACAAGTGCATTGAAGAAGCAGGGCAAAAAGGTTGGAGGAGAGCTCGGTGGCAGAGACACGCAATGGAGGGGTCAAAGGAAAGAAAACAGTGAAAATTCATTTTGTAAATAAAATATAAAAACAATTTTTTGTTAATTTTAATTTTCTGCCCATTTTTAGAAAATATTCTCTAAAAATGAAAATTGAAAAGAAATAACAAACGTGTTTTCAAATTTCATTGAAAACAGAAAATAGGCCAACCAAACATTCCTTATTAAACAAGTTTTTGTAGCATAAAATTTGGTAAATTTATTTAACACCCTTAATTTTATAGTTTGCATTTACTTTGGATCTATCCCAAATTTTTAATTGTCACAATTTAATGTCACGTTTTTGATTAAGTACTTTCCGGAAATATATAACTTAGTTTTTTCCTCTCTTTAAGCTCTGGCCATATTGTAACAAAAACAAAATGCATACTAAATCATATTTATTATTACTTTTGCAATTTTAAAACTCACATTTTTTATTTATTGTTACTTTTGCATTTCAAAATGTTTAGGGATGATGGATCACCTCCCATGTTGTGGCGAGCTAAGCATTGATTTTACAATTTGGGTTAGAAAAAGAATAGAATTTTAATAGTAACAATTGGAAGTCTAGGCATGAAACGAAATTGAGTATGATTTCCTCGTTAAAAACCACTTTTACACATATGGACCTAGATCCGGTCTCCGCTTCCCTAAATCCAGGCTTGTAGATTTAGACCGTCTTTCACAACCATGGACTAGGTTCTGGTATTCATTTTACATAAGAATTTTAACCAATTACTTGTATAAAATATATGATATTTTTTATTTAACGAGATACGTAATAGATTTTATCTTAATTCTCATAATTTTACATATATATGGGTAGCTTGTATCAAATACAAAATCTTTTATAAGATACTCCTGTGTGACCAGTAATCCATCAAAGTAAGAGTTCTCATGCACAAAATGATTACGTGATCTCAAGTTAAATAACTAATTAATACACTAGTGTAAACTTAGGGCATATTCGGTATACATGAAAAGTTCGGATAGGGATAAAATTATTCCGTTATATTTACATATATCTCATATTTGGTATGTGCTATATGTTCGTGGAATAAAAATTTAGGTAGAACACTTATTCGTAGAATGAAACAAGATATCTCAAGGAGAATGGTAAAAAAATTTTTTTTTTTATTTTGGCAATGTTGTCCCTTCTATTTACCAACAAAATTTATTTTTTATTTTACAATATATGCCTTCTTCGTTCATTGTTTCATTTTTCACCATCTACCGTTGTGGTTTGCCATTCGACATGAGACCATCTGTCATCATTATTGGTTGTTTGTTGTTAGACAAATTGTGGCTACACAAATATGGAACAAAGGAAGAAAAAGGTCTACATGAACAAATTTGGAACTGCTTGGCGAACTCCAATAAAGGCATTGCTTGAGGATTCTTCTCCTTGGTCTTGGTTGCAATGGCAGTGGAGAGGGAGGGGAACTCCAACGTGTTGCCACTATGGCTCTTAGTGTTGTTTGTCTTGCTCACCTGCTGCTAAAGAAGCTCACAACTTTGTTTTCTTCGGAGTTGAGGGTCCATGTTCCAAGCTTCACCCATGAACTGGCCCAAAGAAGACCAATGACGGCCACCAAATTTTAAAGCCACGGATTCTCTAGTAGCTTACAATCACGAAGTTAGAATTTTGGAGGTTCAGACTCTAGTGATGGTGGACGGTTCAAATGCTAATTTAGAGGACGAAGAAGAAACATCAATCATCTCTAGTCACCAATGCATCCAGAATTTACATATAAGGGAGGCGAGAATAAATATAAAAATCAAATATATTAGAAAAAATAATTACATCAATGGTTAAATATATTCTTTAATATCATCAAATTTAAATAAAAATCAACTAACTACTTCATATATTTATTTAAGTTGAGCACGTTGTTCCTTCATGTCATAAAATTGATCAATGATTGACTCATTATCAAACTATTCAACAATCCTTCTTTCAATATAGATAACTAAACAATCAGCAAGAAATTCATCTTCCATCTTATTTCTAAGCTTGTTATTGACAATATTCATAACTGAAAATAATCTTTCACTTGTAATAGTTGAAATAGGAATGGTTAATATCAAACGAAGTAAACAATCAATCAAAGGATAAGTCAAAGATTTTCCCGTTTTAACCAATTCTTGGCATAACTCTGAAATTGTTGACAAATGCTTCAATTCAAAATGTTAGGGAACATCAAGCTCAAAATGTTGTGCTTGTATTTTAAGATATAACATCTCTTGTTCAGTAAAATTATTTAGATAAAACTTAGTTGCTAATTCACAATTGTGATCAACATTAAATAATTTATAATCATCTCTTGGATCTAAAGCAATGCTAAGTTTGAGCAACTCCACAACATTTTCATAAAATCTGCTATTCATCTTATGTAATTGTGTATCTGTAATAGCCTTAAACAAATTAATATGATAATAATGCTCCATTGAAACATTTTCAAAATTTGGGCGATACCTACCTCTTCCAGGGATATAAAGAGCATCCATATTTGATATGTCAATATCATGCTTCTCACAAAAGAATAAGACTTTCTTAAAAAAATTATCGTATCCTGATTCTCACAAAAGAATAGAATTTTCTTCAAAAAATTTTGTCTCTAAATTTTTAATTTATACAAACAAGTCCTTCTCTTTAGGGGGGTGAAATTTTTTGTCTAAGGGGCAAGTATTATTTTTATATACTAATTTATTTTACAAATTTTTAAACCTGGGGGGCCTCCCTTATACAGACATCTGTCAGTGTCTCTATGTAATATCCCTAAAATTCTTTTTCATTTGTGAAAAATTGTAAATTCAAAGGACCAAGGGCATTAGTGAATAAATTAAATGTTTAGGGACTAAATCAGGAATTGGGAAGGGCTTGTTTACACAAATTAGAAGACATGGGGCATTTCTGCTAAATCTGAAAGAGTTGGGCTTGAATCAAAAATAATTTGGGGCTAAAATGGAAGAAAAGGAGGCGGAATGACCAGAATGGAAGGGCGCGTGAGTCTAAGGACCGAATTGCAATTTCGGAGGGGTTTAATTGTAGGAAATGTAAATTGGGGGAACCAGATCGTAACGGGTTGGAGAGTTTCAGCCGGTCCCGGACCAATGGGTAACCGCCAAAATTCGATCCAATCCAGAGAATCTAACTAGTTTGGACGATGTAAACATGGGATTTGGTGCTGGGAGGACAAAATATCTTGATCAATTCGAGGTTGGGAGTGAAAGAGGGAGAAGAAAAAGCTGGGAGGGTGTTCGGGAGGCCGATGGGGTCTGAGTTGATGTTCGGTAAGAAATCAAGAAATTTTGAGCTTTTAAGTAGTGATTTGAACTTGAAATTTGCTTTAGGGCTGTCGATTCTCCATCCTTTAGCAATTATTCAGTCTAGGTAAGTTTTATTTTGTTGGAAATTTCAAGTTTTGCAACCGGGTTCTGCGCATAAGGAACTGGGTTTGAAACTCAGGTTCCCGGGTAAAGAAGACAGACCCGGCTGCTGCTCGGGTTTGTCCTGGGCCAACTAGGCCAGTTCAGCCCAGTTGGGGTAGAACCGGTCGGTTTAGGGGCTAAAGGGGTTCGGTTGGGGAGGATTAGACCGGTTCCTAGTCCAGTAAGTGGTGTACTATTCGATTAAACCAGGATTGGGGTTTAGAGGCCTTTGGTTCGGCATAATTTTTGGGAAGAGTGTGGTAGGACCGGCCGATTTTAGGGTTTAGAGGCCAGTTCAAGGCTTTTGTTAGCTAG